CAGTCACTCAATTCGTCACACTGGAGCATCGCTGTTTGTTGAGGGTGGTGGAACGATGGAAGATCTGAAGAGGCTTGGTGGGTGGAAAAGTAGAACTGCAGCCGACGGATATGTTACTCACTCAAAGTCGAGTAAAGAAAAAATCTGTGACAAAATCACCAATGCAATAAATGTGCGTGGCCCTAGTTCTGCATCAAGTTCATCTGCATCTCGACCAGGGGGATCTTCCATGGAAGCTGTTGCTGGCCCTAGTTCTACCTCCAGTGCATCTGTTTTACAGCCAAAGGCATCTTCCACAAAGACTATTGCTCGTCCTAGTCTTGCATCGAGTTCATCTGCATCATGGCCAGAGGTAGTTTCCACGAAGGCCGTTGCTGGGTCTGACGTTGGATCTAGTTCAGTTGAATCATCTACCAAGACACCTCTAGAGACTCGATCACCGATGGACTCAGCAGGATCAGTGTCCAACAAGGAAAATATTGCAGGCATGTAAAATCAGACACATGGTCAAGAATTCCAACTGCGCATCACTAATTGCACAAATATTACCTTGCAATTCGCGAGAAAAGACGATTCCTAAATCTACGGGGGAAAAAGTCTTGATTGCGTGATGGAGGAAATTCTATTCGATTGTCGAAGTCTTTTTTTTGCAAGTGCTGCGGAATACACATATTTTGTTCCCTGTTTCGTTCTTTTTTCTTTGAGTGTTCAAGAAAACAAATTTGATTTTCTTTTGGTCCATTCAATTTTATTTCTTTGAAACCCATCGATGGCATGTTTTTTTCTTGTTTTTTCTGAGTGCTCAAAAAAATATTGGCTGCACATGTAAAGAATAGTCTATTTAGTTCTTTAAGAGCACAGAATCACTGAAAAATGTTCATTCGTGGGTTTCTCTTCCCCCAAGTGTCAAAGAAAATGTTCATTATGTTAAAAAAAAATCTAATCATAAGAGAAGACTAAAAGAAAGGTCTATTTAATTTTCTAAGTACCTGATCATTAAAGAGTATTAATTTTGGTTTTTCTCTCTGTCTATGTGCAGGAAAACAGTTTATAATGTTAAAGAGAAAGCTTAACCACGAGAGAAGAGTGGTTAAAACGAAGAAAAATCTGTTACATCGTAAGAGTACATGGTCATGTGAAAATGTTCAGTCCTCAACGTTTTATTGATAACATGTAGACTCTTCAGTCATGTAATCTACGTTCTTCATAAATAAATATCAAGTTAAAGTGACGAAAAAAAAGCTGAATTATTATTGTCAATTATTCGTCAAATAATCTATATGATCTTTGTATTTTTCAGTTTTTGTTCTTTCGTCTTTGAAAAATAGTGATTTGCGTGACTTTTCCTCACACTCATTTAAAAAAATAGTGTACGTAACACGTGTAAAAAAGGGGGAACATTAAACTCGTGTGTTAATATTTTTAGGGAGAGTCGTAGCTCCCGCGCAGCAGAGCGATAGACGAGATGAGGCAAGTGTATATCTCTACAGCATTATACACCTCATGGAGAGAAAATAAAGGGCACTTATTTTATTCCTTAACCGTTTTATCACAACACTAATTGATATTTCACTGAATTGATATTATGAAAAACATTAACCTGGGGTTTCAGTAGATATGTGAGAGAGGAGGCTAGAGGAGGCGACGGAATAAATCATCTGGTCACGTTGAGTTGATGTTCGTGGTTGCGGAGGGGGGACGAAGAGTGCCGAAATCTTATGAATGCGCGATCGGGTCCTAGGATTCTGGTAGAGCACCGGAAAAATTTGCCAGCCAGTGTCATAATTTTTCTCGTATGTCTCGTAAAAATTCACTGTCTCTTCGATTTTACCGTGCTGCACAAGAATTGTTTCCCGCATTGTTCCGAAAAAATGACTCATGCAACAGTACTTTTTCCTACTCTTTGCAGTACATTTCGCCTAGAAAGACCATCTGAACCCACTTTACTGTGCAAGTACGGTCATTTTTCTCGTACTTTTGTCTCCGTGTAGTTATTGTCTGTTGTTTTTTTCATCCCTCTTCGTAAATGATATATATTTCAACAAATCCCATCAACAATTATCGTCATAAAGCAAATATTGATTACATAATTCAGGTATGATTCGAATGAGATCGATTTTTACATGTTATTCTTATGGGCAAAAGTTTTTCTCGATGAGCCGCACGAAGAATCATCCGACAGTGCGCCGGTCAATGGATGTTCTTATTCACCCGAAAACACAACGGTTTTCGTGCGACGAAGTGAAAAAAATCTCAATGATTAAATACTGAAATAGTCTAATAAATATACTCCTAAATAAAAAATCTTCAGTCACATATCACATGCTTGTTGTCACCTACTTGTTTTATCAAAATGAGTCAGGAACTTTGATTGATTGGAACATATTCTCTGCACTTGAAAAGAGTAGAAAAAACTACGATACGCGGTAGCGCATTGGCCAGGAAAAAGTTTTGATATGTATTGTCCAATATCTCTGGCCGAGTGCACCGCGTATTTATACACGACAGAAATTCCTTAATGATTATGATACCTTAATGATTTTTATTCGGTCCTATCGTAATGTAATAAAAAAGGGACAATAAATGGGAAAAGTGTACCTAGTTACAACGTCTTAGACGCGGAGTTTTTTAACTCACTCTCTAGTATCAATCTAATCTTCCATCTTCTAATCCGCGCCAATATGGACGTTAGTCCTGGTTGACGGCTGACGACTTGTTGATCCGGTCGTGGCTGACGAATTATTGATCCGGCTGCGTGTAATTCAAGTCTGATTGAATACTGAGCCAGATCAGGTCAGTGTGTTCGGTTATTTCAATAAGAATTTCGGTCAAGCCATAATGGGTTACACCCTCTTCACCTCACCCTTAATAATTCTACCCTAACTAGGAAGGAACGACGGAGATGACTGGCCTCATTTTTCATTCTTTATTTTCTGTTCAAGCTCTCGGCAATCGCCTCTCGGCTCGTAAGCATTCACATTACACAGAATATATATTTTTTTTCATGAGAATTTTATTCAAAACTTTGACTACATTTCTGTTTTATTACACTTAGTAGTGGTTTAATTGGTAGTAGGGGTCCAGCTTCTACTCAAAAAGGTTGCTGATCCCATAACTTCTAGTTTCATCAAGTCTACGACGTTATCTTGATATGTAATTAAGATCCTGTAGATCCCAACTACCTTCGCATTGGGCGTTCTCTATTATATTAATATGCATGGGCAAAGGAGCTGTTGCGCATATAATGATTAGATCTGGTCCTATTGCGCGGGGTGACAAAAAACGGCCGAACATCAGGCCGCCATCGCCTCCTATATACTGGATAATTGGCGGTGGGCTTCGCCCGATGATCTGCCCAACCACGGAGGGTATCATCACTATTTTCATTAATCTGGATGGACCTATGAAAAAGACCGGAGTTAGACCGATCGTCACTGTCAATGAGCATGTATTGGGGTTTCTAATTCATTAAAAACAATTGAGGAATAAATACGAGATGGAATGCACTACAGATTGATCAAACGATTCATCATTCGCATTGCCAATATAATACAATTCTCCACTCTAATACAATTAACATTACAATGGAAAAAAAACGTATTTTTGCCAAGGAATAACTTTTTTGGGAGAAAAATTTATTTTCTTAGGAGCATGTTTCTACAGGCCAGTAATTTTCAAGTGGTCCAAGTTCATCACCAAATATTAAAAATATCCTGAATTATAGGATGATTATGCTACATGTGACCTTGAATAAATTCCATTGAAAATTATTAATATTTTAAATTATTCCAAATTATTTTACGTAGAAAAATGTCAAATTTGAAAAAATTGAACAATGATGAAGGTTATTTATTCATAGTCATATGTAGCATAATCATCTCATAATTGAACATAGTTTTAATAGCAAAAGTATTTTTTTCTCAGTATAATCAGGAGGACGGACATTGAGTAATTGATATCAATTTTTGCGCAACATTTCAAACTGAATATCGAACAATTTCAGTGAGCAATAAGAAATATTCTTTTTAGTCTTCTGTTTATTACAGAGAAGAGAGAAAAAAATAAATGTGTGACAATTTTGATCATCTCCTTTTTATTACATATATTATTGGTTCTCAATTGTGACCGTGTCTCTGCAATAGAGATACAATGAAATTGAATATTTGAAAAATTTATCGACTGAGCCATCTGAAAAATCTTATGGAGACACATTTTTTTCGGACATATGAATACTAAGTCGTGTTTACCTACCCTTCCCTGCATGAATCAGTACAATTATCAAAAATTAATTAAATAATAACTCTGGCGAATTCATTGATTAAGAACTAAATTATTTATTCGTATTAAATGAGGATAACAATGAGTACGTGATCCAATTTTAACGGCCTAATATGATAAGCCTCGATGTCCTTCTGACTTCTTCAAATTCATGAAAAACTACGACGATAAGTTAATATTTAATAAAAAAAATAGTATATAAAAGTATAAGTATTAGTCGGTTGCGATTAACGGCCAATCCTCAGCCGATAATAGCCTCGTTAATGTTTGGCGAGCAATATCCGGCGGGCCTATATTGAATCGATATTTGGCCTTTGATAGGGGTCCCGATGCACGGGGCCCGAAGTTAAACCGATTTTTGGTTGTGTGTCATATATCGGCAAACCCTGCAGAGATAATTAAGTGTATTATATTGCAAAAAAGTTCGGGATTAGGGGTAGAACAAAGACTTATTTTCGAAAATGGTACATTTTCCAAGACAAAGGCTCTCTTTTTTCCAGCTCTGTGTGATTAATCGAGATGTGAACAGAGGGAATAATCCGCCAAATACCCCTCATGCTTGAAAATCAATCGGGTACTTCCTTTGAGTTACCTTGCTGAGTAACATATGCGTGCAGTTTGGTACAAAATCCCTCGCGTAAACGCTCAGAAGTTTCATACTGCCAAACTGTTTGCACATATTGCTCAACAGTGAAACTTCTGGTAATTTTCAAACACTCGGGGTATCAGTTTTTTTCTAACAGAGCTTCGGTTTCAGGGGAAATTTATTTCACATGAGAGCTCAATCTTTCGAAATTATTTTTTTCCATCCGTTTTGATGTGATATTAGGAAGTCTTTTATTCCTTCGCAACGTTTATTTCATTTATTTTCCAATCTTCAACTTTTTTCATTTTAAACCTGACGTAGTAGCGAAATTCGTTAAATACCTTTGAATTTAGCGTAAAAAAATCCATGAAATGATTACAGTTTCATCAGTTCCATCTCTGGCAGACAGTTTGACCGAATTTGGTTGGATGCTGTTATCATTAAATCATGTAATCGATTTTGTCTTAGTAAGTGCTCACATTCAATGTAAGAGTAACATCATCCTGTATTCATAACACTATTGACGTTCAATCACCTGACGTGATTAACCTGTCGATAACCAAATTCGCGTATCAAAATTGCTCTACTCGGATAGATGTTATAAATTCCATTACGACAACGTCCGTCAAAGTTACAAGACGCTGACTCCACGGTGGAGTCAATCGATAAATTGAAAGTAATGATGAACATCACTCTGCATTCAACGGGTCATTGAAACCACATTTAAAGCGGTTATCTCTCTTGGCCATCGGGGTTTACAATCCATTAAACCATATTGAATTATAGCACTAGACCCATGGCCGAGGGCCATCAATACAAACCTTATCAATTCACCCTCTTTCATCCCAATTTCCTTATAGTTGGTCTTTTGAGACCTTCATCAAAAATTCGCCGGAATCACTACAACTTTGTTTGAGTGAATTATGATGTAGGCAAGCGTAAATGTTCGACATCTCTGCATTCACCATTATATAAGGGTCAAGTGCCTGAGGGGTAAATTTGAATGCAACAATTGTGTATTATTTGAAAGTTTCGGTCCAATTATCCCGCGTTATGAGCAAAATTGAATTATTTTCTGTGTTCTAAGATATGCGTCTAGCACAGCTGAATATTTTTCATCAAAATAAAACTTGTTCTCTTTGAGGAGAAATAAATATCAATAACTTATCTGTAGCAATATTGCATCATTCAATAAATAAACGATGATTTCTTATGAACTGGGAAGTTGTAGAAAACTAAAAACTGCATCCGGGAATTGAGAAAAGTTTTGTCATGACTTCTGAAATAGTTAAATAAGACTTGATTTATAGCTCTTCGTGGGTCGCTACTGATGTTGTACTGCTTACACGGGCATCCATCTGTTCACCGTACTTGGAATAACTCTTTGAAGTTACTGCAAACATATTCAACGAAAGTGTATATATACACAAAATCTACTATTTATGTGCCACTGTGTAAATTGGATTGCAATCTGAATATATAGGAGGTGTATAGAATATTGGAGTTTATTACTGTAGTAACTGTGTAGCATTTACGTACTAGCACAATATACCAGAATCACCTTTCCAAGTCTGCCAATCCGATTGTACCACCTGCTTCTCTATTATAGGGTCACGTATATCTCTTCGCCATTGGGGACATATACGTGATCGCGGTCCAGCCTCATACGATGCACGATTAGTTCCTAATTCAGAGGAAACATCATTAGAGTTCAGGGGAATCGATACCTGGATATTGATGGACGATTTTCAACTAAAATTCTGGGACGCGCCTGTGAGGAATTATCATATGGGCGATTACACCAAATATCTGCACAAGCCAGAGTGAGAGAAAACGGCTGAACATCCGGCCGACATCGTCCCGATATGTCGGATAATTGGCGGCGATCTACTGAACCATGGATGATCTACTGAAATACAAAGCGCTTATCAGCAGAGCATCGCTTGGAAAATTTATGTTATTGTTTATACATTTCTGTTGAAATTATTTTTCCCATCACTTTTTCCATCAATTTTACTGAGCCTATGAAGAGTGGAGTACAACCAATGATCATGTATTGGGGTCTAATTAATTAAAAATAATGGAAAAAAAAATTTTATTTATGGTTAATTATAGAATTATTGGTTATAAATTATGAGTATGCAGGTGTAACTGAAATGCATCGAAATTAAACATTTGAAAAATGATTGCTGCTACTAGGATTCTATCTGGCGTCCTTCTGATCCATAGTCCGGCGCGCTAACGTCTGAGCCATCTGAAACCTCTCAGGGTAGGATATTTTTTTGAGTAGTATGAATATTACGTGCTGTTTACCAGTCTTCCTTGTATCAATCAATGCAAATATCAGCAATTAATTGAATTACAACTCTGATAAATTGATGAATTGAAAATGGATTGATTTACACACTAAATGAGGATAATAATGATTATGCGACCAAACTATAATCTGACAGTCTGAGCTGATAACTGTCGGTATGCTTGTGAATTTTTCAAGTTCAGGAAAAACTACGATGATAAGTCGATATTCAATCAAAAATAGCCTACGAGTATTGCGTCGGTTTCGATGAAAGGCTGATCCGTATCATATGACACATCTTGCTGATGTTTGGCGAGCAAATATTGGACCGATATTTGACCTTCAATCGGGGCCGCCATGTTCGGGGGCCCGATGTTGGATCGATGTTTGGCCCTGTTGCATATATATCGGTAAACTCTGTATGGGAAAATTTATGGAATCTAATTTTAAAAAAGCAGATCAAATTTCTGGAAAAGATAGTTTTTCAATATTATTTATGTACGATTTATATTTGATTATAAAATATTCTAGGTGAAAATCCTTTGGTGAGTTTGTGAGGGATTAACATAATTTTTACCAGTTTTGGGTGAGTGGGGAGTAGAAAGTGAGTGGATGATTGAGCTGATATGTAAAGATGAGCCCTAAGACGAATCTGTGTATTATCCCCAAATTAAATGATATTTACCATATTTGCACGATGATTGTCACTTGATTACCGTTCATGTGTCATTTGAAACTGATGAGTCATATTGATAATTTATGATGATAAACCAGTGATGGAATTAAATGATTCAATAACACAATAGTACTGAGATCACCTTGAATATCGAGATGAGTGAGCTATAGATAATTAACGTGTATTGATACCGAGTCTTCCAAAGACCAACGTAAACCGATGTAACGGCAGCTAGATATAAACTGACAGTCGTGAACTTTTCGCTCATAAAGTTTTATCGTATTGGGTAATGATTAGTATTTCCAATTACTCATTCCCATTTGAATGGATTGATTGTATGTGTTTGACAGTCCACAAAAGCCTTTATCATCATGAAACCATGTGGCTATATCCGAATCCCAAATTATATTATTACCACTGGTTAAATATAATGTAACCGCCAGATAGTGAATTGATCACAATTTTGTCATGAATGTGAAATGTGGAATGGGCAACTTCATAGAAAACCGTTCAGTCATTTTGCGCCATATTTTCGGTTTTTTTTCAATTTTCAATGTTTTGGTACCTCATTAAATATGGCCCTGTATAAAATTTTAGCCCTCTAACTCGATTGTCGCCCGAAAAATATACCATTTCGTGATAAGCGCTTTTAATTTTTTAATCTTTCTTTACACTTAGGCATATGCTTCGTATAAAAAAATAGAATTTTAAAGATAAAATCATTTTGTGACCTTCCCGAAACTTTTTTGCATTTTTGGTTGCTAATGGAAGCATTGCATTCGTCAAATCCGAAATTTCCATTTTTGTGTCAGAATTAGTGATTTTAGCGTTCGAATTGGAGTTCCAATATGCTATATTTGAATCATGTCCTGATGTATGGACGCATGTATGTATATGTGTGTGTGTATGTGTGTGTGACCGATCGTTTTTCAACGATAACTGAAGAAATAATTGTTTAAATGAATCAAATTGTGATTGAAAATATTCTTCCCAATGCCATAGTGACCGCGTTCGATCACGAGATTGCATCGTCTGTTGCTGAAAAAATTTATGTTGAACCTAATATTCAGGGAAAGCTAAAAAAATTTTACCGCCTTAATTTTTTCGTAATTTTCTTTTCGAAAAGCCGACACTTTTTTTGACGCACTAAAAAGCAAAGCAAGAATGAAGTGTTGTGATATCAGGCCCTATTAGGGCTCGAATCCTTACCGAATTAGGGTATTTTTTAAGTTTCTCTGAAGTTGTACACGGAGAGAAATGTTCAGTAAAAATTACGGAACTCATAATTCACTCGCCGATTACGGAATCGATTTAGAAAATTTAAGTGACGGTATCGTAATTTTTTACAGGAGAATCAGATAAAAATTACGGAACGCTCCGGAAAAATTCCGTGACAGTTCCGTAAAATTTCCTACAATCACATTTCGCTCCGGAATTACGGAAAAGAGACGTAATTTTTATTGAGTATTTCTCTCCGTGTATGGATATGATAGGAGTTCGTCTTATTTTAGTTCGTCTCATGACGGTCGCACTGACGTATCATATGACGGGTCAGGGACATGTCATGTCATTTTGTCGCATCCCTGATCGCGATTATAAGTTTTACATGCTACGTGTACTACTTACATACATTTAACGTCATCGCCATTGGAAGGTCGATAATTCTAGTGGTAGGATTTCCGAGGTTCTGAGTTCGACAGATATGCGCAGGGGCGAAATTATTTACTTGTGAAGAATTGTATGAGTATTTCAATTTTCGCTAGCTTTGATGTTGAGGCAGAGGCTGTTTTTTTCTGAATTTCATCTCTTATGAATATTCACAATAAGTGAAAAGAATTTCAAATAGTTTAGTAAAAGTCCAATGGACACACCAGAGGCTTCGAAAAAGGTTGGGTTATTTGATTGAATTATTACCAGGAAACATTCGAAAGTTAATAGTGGTAAAATACGTCAATCGATCTATTCTAATTTTTCATTATATCGAATAGAAGAAATCATTTTTTCGAAAATACTAAAAATTAAAGTAATAAAAGTTCCAAACATTCGATCTTTCAGATCATTTAACAAAACCGCTGTCAAGATTCATCATCCGCCAAAAAGTTGGCATTCTCAAGATTTTGCACAGCATATCGGTATGAGATGGTTATTATTTATTATTTTTCGAAAATTCCGTGAATGTTTCAATTTTGACTCGCTTTGATTGTGATACGTGCGGTAACTTGGATTTTCGACATCACTTCATATGGGTATTGAAGTGAATAAAGGAAACTTCAGGAGATTAATCGAAAATTTAAATTGAAACATGAACGTTGAACGTTGAATTTTCTAAACCTCGTTCTCCATCCGCATTCTCCAAAATCGTTTATCATCGGCATTCAGGTATTCCGAAATATGAAGCCGTCGTCGAAAGAAAACGATGAATTGACTTATTCTCGTCATCTTCATTAGAAATTCAGCCCCGATATTTCTTCCGTACTGAAGATAACCATGCGTTCTTTGAAAAAAAGAAACATGTTCCAATTAATACTGAATACATTTTCGCGAAGACATTTTGTGATACTTTTTTTCCGTAAACATGAATTTTTGTAATAGATATTGTTCTATGAAAACTAAATGTTGTGAATATTTTATCACTCATTAAAAAATCGGGGAATTAAACATCCAGAGTTCCTTTCCACTGAACTGAAAGTGAACTATACTATAAATTTATTGATTATTTTGGACAATCACAAGATGTATCTTGACGTTTGCAATCGTCAAGTATAAGAGTGATATTGATATTGCATTTTGGCATTAGCCGAAGCAGCACGACGCAAACGAATGACACCCAATGCATAAAAGAATAATCACTAGACAGTTTTTCGATTTAACCCGAGTGGAAATTTTTAGTCAGGTCTTGATCAGACACTGATCAGGTATGTAACGCTATTTTCCACTAGGGCTTCGCCGCCTACCTTCATTAGGCATTAATTAAATTGTAATTTTGTGAGAAAAAATTTTGTTACTTCCTAGCCGGGAATCGAACGCGGGACCTCCCAATGTCGCGTCGGGTGCTCTTACTATCTGAGCTACCAGGACACTTACGAATTTCATTCTCAAATTGAATCATACCCGAGTGGAAATCTTTAGTCAGGTCTTGATCAGACACTGATAAGGTATGTAACGCTATTTTCCACTAGGGAATATGGCATCATCGCAATCATCACGATGGAATCAAAGTCGGAATACGTGCTGTGTCACTATCCTGCCAGTGGAATGGAGAAGGAAAAAGACAGAGCTTCTTTGCACGTGAACACACGTCTTAAGAGAAAGTTCACCTCGGGAAAAAAACTTTTGTGTCTTTCGAGAAAAAAACTTCAAAAATACTATTATCTGCGTATTTTTTCCTCAGCTATCCGATTTTGTACGTCAAATTCGTCTCCAACCGCTAAAAATTAAAGATTCTAATTTTTTCTATTGGAAAAATTAACTGTTTAAAATTCCCCAACGTATTTTTTGTCCGAAATAGTTTTTTAAATATGACCACAAATTCGTGCTCCTTAATTATGAAAAATACGGAAGAAGATATATTTTGAAGTCCGTTGGTCAACCTGAAAAAAGTCATTATTTCCAATGGATCGATTATATTTTCGAAAATAAGTTATAAGTATCAATCAGAATGAGTGAATTTGCACAAAAGAATGGAAAGTGAATCGAAACAGTACACTGATAGAACGGTTTAG